GAAACAACAATTGCATACGATTACAATATACTATATTGTTATATCTATATACTATCTATTTATAACCTATATATCTTTACAGGCCCTCACATTCGTTTTGTTTTTTAATACATTCACGCAACCACTCACGCATAACGGTTGCTTACTTGCCGTTGGTCGGCGCTAGTGTCGCGCTATAGACGTGCGCGTGTACCCCGTGACTTGATCATCGTATAGAATGACATCATTACTCGTATCGTTCATAGCTTCGTCGAATGAAAAGTTTTCTCAACACTGATTGACAAGTCGAGGGAATTCGCACTGACATGCTATACTGCCGCAACTATGACGTGATTGTCAACCCCAAACTCATCCCGATAACCTATAGCTGGCGAATGTAGGGGGGTAGCGGTGGATTTGGTTGCTATAACCACCAGAGCACGTATATTTATTTTACGTGCTGCTACCAAGAGTTAAACCATAAAAGTTGGTAGTTGATCCTTTTCAGGTTGATAGTTTGAGCATTAACTTGGTGATCAAAGATGATGATCAAACTGAAATAATGATTTTAACATTAAGTTAAGAGTCGATCATTATCTTCCAGTGATTCTTAAACCTCTTTAATAGTTTGATTATTAAGTTCATGATCATTCGGAGATGAATTTAATGATCAATGGCCAAGTTGATAGTAAAATTATTAAGTTAATACTCGAACTCTTAACTTTAATGATCTGATTATTAAGTTAATAATTCTACTATTAAAGTTAATGATACATTTTTTCCTGGGTTGCAACAGGCAACTGGACATCGTTCGCCTGCTACTGGAGGCCGACGCAGACCCAAACGTCGCCAAGAAGGATAGCAGATGGACGCCGCTGATGACTGCGGTGAGTAAGGGCGATGAGGCGGTGGCGGGTATGCTGCTCTCACACGGCGCCGACGCCAAAGCCGCGGACTGGCAAAGACAGACCTCCCTGCACATCGCGGCTCGCTCTGGCCAGCTGGACATCATGCACCTGCTACTGGAGGCCGGCGCCGACGCTAACGCCGCGGACCAGCAAGGACGGACCTCCCTGTGCCATGCGCCTCGCTCTGGCCAGCTGGACATCGTGCGCCTGCTACTGGAGGCCGGCGTCGACGCCAACGCCGCAGACTCGGATGGTGTGACCTCCTTGCGCATCGCGGCTTGCAACATGCAACTGGACATAGTTCGCCTGCTACTGGAGGCCGACGCAGACCCCAACGTCACCAAGAAGAAGAGCGGAGAGACGCTGCTGATGATAGCGGTGAGTAAAGGCGAGGAGGCGTTGGTGCAGATGCTGCTCTCGCACTGCGCTGACGCCAACGCTGCGGACTCGTACAGACAGACTGCGCTGTGCCACGCGGCTTGCTCTGGCCAGCTGGCCATCGTGCGCCTGCTACTCAAGGCCGGCGCAGACCCCAACGCCGCGGACCAGCAAGGACGGACCTCCCTGTACCACGCGGCTTGCTCAGGCCAACTGGACATCGTGCGCCTGCTACTGGAGGCCGGCGTCGACGCCAACGCCGCAGACTCGGACGGTGTGACCTCCTTGCACATCGCGGCTTGCAACAGGCAACTGGACATCGTGCGCCTGCTACTGAAGGCCAGCGCAGACCCCAACGTCACCATGACAAAAAGCGGGAAGACGCCGCTGATGATGGCGGTGAGTAAGGGCGAGGAGGCGATGGTGCGGATGCTGCTGTTACGCGGTGCCGATGCCAACGCAGCGGACTCGTACGGAGAGACCTCCCTGTGCCACGCGGTTCGCTCTGGCAGGCTGGACATCGTGCGCCTGCTACTGGAGGCCGGCGTTGACCCCAACGTCACCCAGACGAAGAGCGTAGTGACACTGCTGATCATGGCGGTGAGGGAGGGCGAGGAGGCAGTGGTGCGGATGCTGCTCTTACGCGGCGCCGACGCCAACGCCGCGGACTCGCACGGAGAGACCTCCTTGCACATCGCGGCTTGCTACAGGCAACTGGACATCATGCGCCTGCTACTGGAGGCCGGCGCCGACCCCAACGTCGCCATGACGAAGAATGGAGAGACGCCGCTGATGAGGGCGGTGAGGGAGGGTGATGAGGCAGTGGTGCAGATGCTGCTCTCACACGGCGCCAACGCCAATGCCGCGGACTTGTACGGAAAGACCTCTCTGTACCACATGCCTTTCTCTGGCCAGCTGGACATCGTGCGCCTGCTACTGGAGGCCGGCGCGGATCCAAACGCCGCCGTGACGAAGAGTGGAGAGACGCCACTGATGAAGGCGGTGATAGAAGGCAAACAGGCGATGGTGCAGATGCTGCTCTCACACGGCGCCGACACCAACGCCGCGGACTCGCACGGACGGACCTCCCTGTACCAGGAGGCTTGTTTTGGCCAGCTAGACATCATGCGCCTGCTACTGGAGGCCGGTGCAGATCCAAACGTCGCCAAGAAGAAGAGCGAGAAGACGCTGCTGATAAAGGCGGTGAATAAGGGCGATGAGGCGATGGTGCGGATGCTGCTCTCACACAGGGCCGACCCCAACGCCGCGGACTCGGACGGAGAGACTTCCCTGTACCAAGCGGCTCGCTTTGGCCGGCTGGACATCATGCGCCTGCTACTGGAGGCCGAAGCCAAGCCCAACGTCGCCGATACGGGCAGCGGGAAAACGCCGCTGATGATGGCGGTGAAGGAGGGCGAGGAGGCGGCGGTGCAGATGCTGCTCTCACACAGGGCCGACCCCAACGCCGCGGACTCGAACGGACATACCTGCCTGTACCACGCGGCTTGCTTTGGTCAGCTGGACATCATGCGCCTGCTACTGAAGGCCGCAGCCAACCCCAATGTCGCCGAGACAAAGAGGGGAGCGACGCCGCTGATGAAGGCGGTGAATAAGGGCGATGAGGCGATGGTGGAGATGCTGCTCTCACACGGAGCCGACGCCAACCCCGCCGAGAAGATAAGCGGATTGACGCCGCTGATGATGGCGGTGATGAAGGGCGATGAGGCGATGGTGCGGATGCTGCTCTCACACAGGGCCGACCCCAACGCCGCGGACTCGTACGGAAAGACCTCCCTGCACATGGCGGCTGGCTTCTTTTGCCAGCTGGACATCATGTGCCAGCTACTGGAGGCCGGTGCAGATCCAAACGTCGCCGAGACGAAGAGCGGGAAGACGCCGCTGATGATGGCAGTGGAGGAGGGCGAGGAGGCGGCGGCAGTGCGGATGCTGCTCTCACACGGCGCCGACCCCAACGCCGCGGACTCGTACGGAAAGACCTCCCTGCACATGGCGGCTGGCTTCTTTTGCCAGCTGGACATCATGTACCAGCCACTGGAGGCCGGTGCTAAGGTGAAATTTTAGCAATGTCCTAATGTATTTTCTTATAGATGGTAAAGGTAATCAGTAATAGTAATCGTTTAACAGTTAATAATAGATATGTTAAATAGTTTCACCGCATTATACTACTCCTTCAATCTACTCGGGATCGAGGAAAAATGTGGGCGTACGTTGTGAACGACGGAGACAATTTTAGCGATGTTCCAATGTATTGTTGTCTAGATAATAAAGGTAATCAGTATTAGTAATCGGTTAATAGTTAATAATTTAATAATAGTAATAGTTAGTAATCGGCAACAGTAATAAAGGTAGTATGCTCGGAGAAACTTGTTCTTTTATTGTATTTTGATTGTTGTTATGTTTGTGTATTGATTGTGGGTTGTTTAATCGGACATAAAGACGTTTCTCTCGTTGGGTTATGTTAGGAAGGTACCCTAACGTCGCCAAGATGAAGCGCGGAGCGAGGCCGCTGATGAAGGCGGTGACGGAGGGCGATGAGGCGGCGGTGCGGATGCTGCTCTCACACGGCGCCGACGCCAACGCCGCGGACTCGTACGGAGAGACCACCCTGTACCACGCGGCTCGCTCTGGCCGGCTGGATATCATGCGCCTGCTACTGGAGGCTGGCGCGGATCCAAACGCCGCGGACTCGGACGGACAGACCTCCATGTACGCCGCGGCTTGCTTTGGCCGGCTAGACATCGTGCGCCTGCTACTGGAGGCCGGTGCCGACCCCAACGTCGCCGAGACAAAAAGTGGAGAGACGCCGCTAATGATGGCAGCGTGGCTGGGTAAGGAGGCAATGGTGCCGATGCTGCTCTCACACGGCGCCGACGCCAACGCCGCGGAGTCTCACGGAAAGACCTCCCTGCACATGGCGGCTCGCTCTGGACGGCTGGACATCATGCGCCTGATACTGGAGGCCGGCGCGGATCCAAACGCCGCGGACTCGTACCGACAGACCACCCTGTACCACGCGGCTTGCTTTGGCTGGCTGGAAATCGTGCGCCTGCTACTGGAGGCCGGCGCCGACCCCAACGCCGTCAAGACGAAGAGCGGGGAGACGCCGCTGATAAAGGCTGTGAGGGAGGGCAAGGAAGCGGTGGCGGGGATGCTGCTCTCACATGGCGCCGACGCCAACGCCGCGGACTCGCAAGGACAGACCTCCCTGTACCACGCGGCTCGATCTGGCCAGCTGGACATTGTGCGCCTGCTACTGGAGGCCGCAGCCGACCCCAACGTCGCCATGACGAAGAGTGGAGAGACGCCGCTGATGATGGCGACGAGGAACGGCAAGGAGGCGGTGGCGCGGATGCTGCTCTCACACGGCGCCAACGCCAACGCCGCGGACTCGCAAGGATTGACCACCGTGTACCAAGCGGCTCGCTTTGGCCAGCTGGACATCGTGCGCCTGCTACTGGAGGCCGGTGCAGATCTAAACGTCGCCGAGACGCAGACCGGGAAGACGCCGCTGATGAAGGCGGTAAGGGAGGGCGAGGAGGCAGTGGTGCAGATGCTGCTCTCACACGGCGCCGACGCCAACGCCGCGGACTCTCAAGGACAGACCTCCCTGTACCACGCGGCTCGCTCTGGTCAGCTGAACATCGTGCGCCTGCTACTGGAGGCCGCAGCCGACCCCAACGTTGCCATGACGAAGAGTGGAGAGACGCCGCTGATGATGGCGATGAGGAACGGCAAGGAGGCGGTGGTGCGGATGCTGCTCTCACACGGCGCCAGCGCCAACGCCAACACCGCGGACTCGCAAGGATTGAGCACCCTGTACCAAGCGGCTCGCTTTGACCAGCTGGACATCGAGCGCCTGCGACTGGAGGCCGGTGCAGATCCAAACGTCGCCGAGACGCAGACCGGGAAGACGCCGCTGATGAGCGCGGTGAGGGAGGGCGAGGAGGCGGTGGTGCGGATGCTGCTCTCACACGGCGCCAACGTCAACGCCGCGGACCAGCAAGGACGGACCTCCCTGTACCACGCGGCTTGCTCTGGCCAGCTGGACATCGTGCGCCTGCTACTGGAGGCCGGCGCCGACCCCAACGTCGCCGAGACGAAGAGTGGAGAGACGCCGCTGATGATGGCGATGAGCGAAGGCAAGGAGGCGGTAGTGCGGATGCTGCTCTCACACGGCGCCGACGCCAACGACACGGACTCGCACGGACAGACCACCCTGTACCACGCTGCTCGCTCTGGCTGGCTGGACATTATGCGCCTGCTACTGGAGGCCGGTGCAGATCCAAACGTCGCCGAGACGGAGACCGGAAAGACGCCGCTGATGATGGCGGCGTGGGAGGGCGAGGAGGCGATGGTGCAGATGCTGCTCTCACACGGCGCCGACGCCAACGCCGCGGACTCGTACGGACAGACCTCCCTGCACATGGCGGCTTACTCTGGCAGGCTGGACATCGTACGCCTGCTACTGGAGGCCGGTGCAGATCCAAACGTCGCCGAGGCGAAGAGTGGAGTGACGCCCCTGATGAGGGCGGTGACGGAGGCGATAGTGCAGATGCTGCTCTCACACGGCGTCGACGTCAACGCCGCGGACTCTCAAGGACAGACCTCCCTGTACCACGCGGCTTGCGATGGCCAGCTGGACATCATGCGCCTGCTACTGGAGGCCGGTGCAGATCCAAACGTTGCCGAGACGCAGACCGGGAAGACGCCGCTGATGAAGGCCGCCGAAAAAAGGGGGAGTTTCACTGCGTTGCACTACTCTTGTGATCGACTTCGAACCGAGGTAAAACTACGTGCGTACGTTGCGAATGATTGAGACCAAATTTTAGCAATGTACTAATGTATTTTCTTATAGATGGTAAAGGTAATCAGTAATAGTCGGTTAACAGTTAATAATAGATATGTTAAATAGTTTCACCGCATTACACTACTCCTGCAATTTACTCGGGACCGAGATGAAACTGCAGGCGTACGTTGTGAACGACGAGACAATTTTAGCGATGTTCCAATGTATTTTTGTCTAGATAATAAAGGTATTCAGTAATAGTAATCGGTTAATAGTTAATAATTTAATAATAGTAATAGTTAGTAATCGGCAACAGTAATAAAGGTAGTATGCTCGGAAAAACCTCGGGTTGTTAACGATCCACGTTTCTTTCGTTCACACAGATGATTACTCGCCTCTTGAAACACGGAGCTGACCCGAACCTCGTCGATTATAACAAGAGGACGCCGCTCACTATAATAGGCAGCCAGGTGAGAAGCCACAGAATGGGTGAGCGAGCAGCACAAGCGGGGTCAGTGGTACAAGCGGCGTCAGCTCTCCTACAGACGTGCGAGTCCGCCGGCGTACTTCTACAGGTTAACACACGCGACAGCAAGGGCGACACCCCGCTGCACAGCTTTTGTAGGGTGATACTCGCATGCAAAGACAATGTTTACGCGCGAGAGAGGGAGGGGTGCGTGCAGATAGTGCACGCGCTGCTGTTCAACCACGGCGCACACGTCGACGTGGTGAACGCCCGGGGAGAGACGCCATACAAACTCTGGCGCCGGATTTACCCGACGCGTTTCAGCGGCAACGTGGTGTCGAGCGACGAGATACATGGCAGAATGAGCGCACAGTATTATTCGCTGAAGTGCTACTGCGCGCGCGTTATCGTCAGACACAGCGTTGAATACGAGAACAGGCTGCCTCCGAGTCTTGTAGAATTTGTCAGGGCACACGCTAGACCAACGTAGGCGACACTAAGCGTGTTAACCGAGGAAGCCCATGTAGGATCCGAGATGCGATAACCCAGAAGATATTATCAATAATTGTTAGATATAAGTTCTTATTGTTGCACGTGTTGGCAGACGTGTTTCAATTGCAATGTAAAATCGAGTATATGTAGTAACACTATTCAGTTTATATAGAAATGTGTAGATTATCGGTATGATGCCTTGATGAATTGGCGCGATTTAATAACCACGAGTACAAATGTTAAAAGTTTGCAAATCATTTTGCTCTGTAAAAAAACTATAAAGGCTGGGTTCTGAATATTAAAAAAAATAAAAATACAATATAACTATTTTACCATGAAATGTATGCAATTCGGAAAGTACTTAGTACCATCAGAATCACATATTTGATGTGCTCCTGCTACCACACACCACCAAAAAATATAATCATTAATGACCCACTGTTCAGACGATCCACTTGTCGTAATGTACCCATTAATAGGGTATATATATATATATATACTATAGACTGTATATGCAGTCCAACCATATACTGAAGGGACACTACGCCCTAGACTTATAGGGAATAAGCCTGTTATGTTTGATGCTCACACATGTGCATAGTCAACGCAGATATATTTTTTGAATAACTGGAATGCTTTCACACCATGCGTGCATACCACGCGACACACACGTTGTTCTCCACGCGACATCTCGCGGTCATATATCATAACATCTCCTTTCTTTAATGAAAATAAACATTTCCTGCGTGAGTGCTTCATAGGCATGCACTAGAAGTGTATATATGTGTAAATCAAAATCAAACATAGCAAAGCCAAGCGAATACTCACGTACGTACTCACTGCCTGCTTGATCTTTGCCCTTACCTTGTAGCTGCGCTGAGGTGACCATGACAGAGGAGCGGCGGTTGGCGAGTGACATACGCGCTTAACGTGCTTGTGTGGCACATTGCGCTTGGTGGGAGGGGTAGTGTAGCATCTTCTGAGGCGTGTTCAACAGCGCGAACGTTCGCAGCACGAACGCAGCGCCACTTGAACGACACCGAGCTATGCACCGAGCGCTTCCTTTATCCAAGATGGCGGCTTCCTCAGCAGATTTCATCGCAAGATTTTAATGTCTTCGAAGAAATACTGTTAAACAAATTAGCAGACAAAATTGAATGAATGATTGAAAAATAAAATGAAGTTGAAACAGAGTGAAATTGAAGCCAGAAGTGTTAGATTCGCATTCACCAGAATGCCCGTCGCCATCTTGAAAACAACTCGCGTGCTGCGCGAACAGCCTCGAGAGCCTGATCGCGCGCACTTGCGAGCACTGTTTAGAAGGCAAGCGCACGCGAGCGTTCGCGCTGTTGAACACGCATCTGGTGATGTTATGGTGAATAGAATAAGCAGATGATTGTAGATAAAGTTGACAATATTCATTCTGCGTTGCATTACATTATGGCCGTGGTGGGACTACTACTGACACCTGGTGGTAGAAAACATAAACATCAGATACATTACTGAACGTGACAGGTAGGTCTGTGTGCTGCAGCCGCATCGGCTGCGGTCGGCTCTGCGGCGGAGTGTAGTAGAAGGTTTCTTCATCACTCTCCGTCACGTCTAGCTGAGCGACCACGGGAGATATGCTAGCCAGCTTCCTCGAGCGTTTCGCAGGACTGCCACTCTTTTCTTCATTGCCACGCTTCTACAACACGAGCAACGCCGAGAATGTTTTAAATGCTGTATACGCCATATTTTTTTCGTACAGATATTTTCGCGAATTCAGACTTCGCGAGTGGTTAATTTCGCGGTTAGTGAATTGTGAATTATTTGGTATGAATTCTTCGCGTGTTGTTATTTTCGCGTCGTGGACGCGTTCGCGAAATTCGCGAAAATTAAACCACCGCGAAATACAGCTTATACAGTAGGTCAGAACAAAGGCAATCTTAATACATCCCAGCGATTTAACAACGGACACAATGTTCGATATCTATCTAATGAGATAACTATCGAGAATACACAGATATGATCAATCATGATCATGATCATCAAACACTCTTTTCTGGTGATTAACTGATTAATGAATTGATTAATTGATCAACCCAAGGTAAATGATGTAATTGTGATACGTACGTGTGATTGTTACACATCGCAGTCGATAAACTACAATCAGACCTTTGTTCAAATGAAAAAGAGTTGGAAAGGTGTAGATTGTTTGTCAGAAATAATATAATTTTCTTAATTTCTTCTATGAACATGCTGAAGGACGTCAGTATTGGTATCGCTGCTTCCGAGACGGAGCTTGCGACTTCTGCAGGTCCAGGAAAGTAGGCCACGGTGCCTATAGATGGCGCCACTTCCGTTTCTTTCGCGTTCCGACAGCCTATCAGGAGAATAACAACAACGATAATAAGATTTAAAAAAAAATATATATGTATATAATAAAAATGAATAAAACAGCGCAGATATAAAAGATTAAAAGCTCCCTGGGCTCCAGGTTAGAAACTGTTGGCGACGGTATGACCCCCATAAGAAATAATATAGATAACCATATCAGGTTATCTATATTATTTCCATGTGACCCACACCGTACGTGGATGTGGCTGAGATTGCCCCTGGTGTGTAAAAAATAGCTGTTTATAATTCTGTCGCTTTATTGTTTATTCATGGACATTTTCGATATTATTTCATAGCAATTTTTGTTTTTCCGTGAGATATGTCATCTTTTTGTTATACTTGTTATTGTTTGATTATTACCATATTCTGTTGATGATTACTTACGTGAGAAATGCAGAATGATTATCAGATTGTTTACCAGCAGCTAGCAAAGACATACCTATGACATATAAGACTGTTCATTTTCACCAAAAAATGTATTTCACCACGTTTCTACACTACAACACTTCTAAGTTCAAGCCTGCATTTAATAATATAATGAACTAATAATTTAATTTTATAAATATTTAATAACTGATGTAATAAAGCTATTGAATGCAACATTAAGGTGTTTTATTGTGCTTGCTATGACAATCATAGGATTTTTCAGGGCCGTTGCAAACAATACATATAACAGCAACCTAATAAAAATAGGATGAAATTAGAAACAACAATTGCATACGATTACAATATACTATATTGTTATATCTATATACTATCTATTTATAACCTATATATCTTTACAGGCCCTCACATTCGTTTGTTTTTTAATACATTCACGCAACCACTCACACGCATAACGAGTTGCTTACTTGCCGTTTGTCGGCGCTAGTGTCGCGCTATAGACGTGCGCGTGTACCCCGTGACTTGATCATCGTATAGAATGACATCATTACTCGTATCGTCATAGCTTCGTCGAATGAAAAGTTCTCAACACTGATTGACAAGTCGAGGGAATTCGCACTGACATGCTATACTGCCGCAACTAATGACGTGAGTTCAACCCAAAACTCATCCCGATAACATATAGCTGGCGAATGTAGGGGGGTAGCGGTGTTTGGTTGCTACCACCAGAGCAGTAATTTATTGTTTAGCGTGCTGTACCCATTCCTATACCTAAAGACGATTTTGAAACCTTTATACTACTAGATAAAAAAGGGTTTCTTCGCCCCCCCCCCCCCCCCCCTCTTTTATGAGTCACCCACCCCATATATGTTGGACTGACAATATTTTCATAAATGGGGAAAAAGGTAAGGGGAAAGGGAAATGCTATCGCACCCAGGTCTCTCCTCCCCCCCTTCTCGTCCGACCCTCTTCTCTCGGTCTCTCTCTCTCTTCTCGTCTCTTCTCTCTCTTCTCTCATCTCTCTCTCCTATCTTCTCTGTTCTCTCGCGTTCTCGTCTCTCATCTCTCTTCTCGTCTCGATCCTCTCCCTCTCTCTCTATCTATCTATATCATATAGGTAAACGCACACGGTCACACGGCACGCACGCACGCACGCACGCCCGCCACGCACGCAACGCCACGCACGCACGCACGCAACGCACGCCACGCACACACACAACACACGACAGCACACATATATATATATATATATATATATATATATATATACATATAGCTTATGTCAGATTTTCCGCTATGATAAATGGCGCGCTGACCACGAAAATTACAAAGTTCAAGCTCAAAATTGGATTGCTTCAAATGTCTTTATTTGCTTCCATTTGTGATGGATTGAAGACAGTGAAGACTGATAATTTAATCTGTAATAAAAATTATATACATACAAAATGCCAGAAATTAATAATTATTGCACAATTAAAGTTTCCTTTGTGTCCTTCTTTCTGTGCTTGTGTAACATAGCATACTTGCCTAATATACTTTGCAAGTCTATCTCAATAAACAAATCCTAAACTTTAAACATTGACTCTGATATGGAATCACTATTCCTATCGTAAATTCGAACTAAACGCATATTTCACTAAACTGTATCTCTTAATGCATATTCTATACTTGTACACATACTGCTTGTAGTTGTACAGTGTACACCAAGCATAAATTTAAATCACATTATACTCTGTACCAAGCGGCAACAAATCCTATGGCAATGTCGCTGGCATAGCATTCATTAAGTATACATTCTCACATACGTGTTTACATGAATGACCAAAATTAAACATATCCTTTTACACACTTATCAATAAGTTCTCATTATCTAAATAAACTCACTTCTTTGGCTGGAACTAAGCAGTTTACGGCCGCAATGGTAGGCTTACTAGTATCCACTTCACACAGCACAAAACGGTAAAATTTGGGGGGAAACTGGAGAGCTCATTCACAGTGACTTGACTCTGGCAGACACAAAACGCAAGTAGAGTCAGTGCATCAAATGGCTTCGAACATACACGTGGTCAAGTCGTATCTGCCGCCAGTGATGTAGTGCAATGGTGTTGTCAAACAAACAACCCCTTACATAATCGCCGTTTAAACCTGCTATAAATCTTAAATACTTCACTGCAGCCAAACCTATAAATATCCGGCTTTTCTGCTATTCTAATAAACAAATATACCTTATTTTACTCATCTCACAAACAAATAACCATCTCTCTTAAAAAGATTTCCCACAATGAGATTTCAAATCAAAACTTTTCGCTCAGCGAAACCATAATCGCTCCCAGTCGATGTTACTGTGTATCCGTTTGCAGGGCCGTAGGCTGAACAAATTCCTAGGGGTGGGGCAGTGGCGGTTCCAGGATTTCAAGGAAGGGGTGATAAACAGGTGGGGGTCTGGGGGTTCTCCCACACAAAATTTCGAAAATGTAGATAGCAGGAGATGGTATTTGAGGCACTTTTGAGTACATGTACAGCCTTCATTCTGACTACGACAATTTTCTTTTAGTAGAACAATTTATTTTTTTAATTTTGCTCCAATATCTAGGGAGGCAGCTGCCCCTTGCCCCCGCATGCTACGGCCCTGGTTTGTCTGCGCCACTACTACCTACATATTGCCTGCGTAACATCACCGACGTCTCCCAATAGTTTCTCCGCTATAACATAGTTCAGCATAACAACCAGTAATTAAGAACATCCTCGTAGCTAAAGAGATACTAAGCTATATATATATATATATTGTGTTGTTCGTGCACAGCGGCGAGCGTGCGGTGTAGTCGTGTGTTGCAGAGGAGCATTTGAACGGCATTTACAGAATCGAAGTAATCGGCAGTAATAGGCGAAAGAGGGTAGAGAAACATTAAGACTTTGGTAGTAAATACATTTCGTATCTATTTACCTTGTTTTGAGACGTTCCAATTGCCTGTGGAACTAACCATAGAAAAAATTGTGAATTTTTCGTACTTGTTATCTTTTGTTTTACTCACCTGCAATTTGACTCATGTTAACTGGTACATTTCGTATGAACGGTGTGTAGCCCTATACTAAAAGGAAATTTTATTTTATATAATGAAGAAAGAGCTTTTGGACAAGATGAAATAAAAAAATCCACATGTATCATTTTTCCTAGAACGCAATACAAACATTGCTCAAGAAAGCGCAGCAATTTATATTAAAAAATCACAAGCTGAAAAGATATGAAATTGCAAATGTCTTCAGTACATTCTCACACACGCGCGGGAAGCTAAAACCAATAAAGCTATCCCAATAAATAATTTTTTAATCGACTGTGTGTTTTGATAAAACAAGAAGAGGAACTGAACTTACAAAAGAACCCCAGAGCGCCAGTTCCATATTTCACCTAGTCCATATTGGGACTATATTGGGGTGTTAACATTAAGATGCAAGTGATGCCGAAAATGTAACTACATAATGATGTACTAATTAATTCAAGATTTCTAAGCAACTGCTAGCATATAGAATCATAAGACTGAATAAGTTTATCTGAGGAGGGGCAGTTTACGACAAACAGCGTCATCACAAATGCACGAACCGTACACTAAGGGAGAATTGCCGTATTGTGTGGACTGTGAAATTCAAATCCATGATTATTTCTTCCTTCCAAAATAACCTTTTCTGTTTAAAACATGCAATCCTCCAAATTGCTATGCCGATAGCCTGTTTAGGTACACTGAACATGAACATATGTACAGTTAAACATGCCGTGGTAGTGTAGCCAGTCGAATTTGAACCGTATCATCTAGACATTAAATTCAATCTAGTGGCAAACAATATTATATCGACGTTTCAATTTGTATCCTCTAGAGAGGAACGATAGAATTTTATCTGTATAGGAGGGAGGAAACAACACCCTCTTTCTCTTCGTCGCCATTTTAATTTGCGTAGTGTAAAGAGGACTAGCTGTATAATCATGTTTGTACAAGAGCGAAGGAACGACGACAGAAAGCGTACGGTTCGCGCGCTTGCAATCACGTCAATGTTCGCGAACACCGCGGAACACACGAGAGAAGCTAGTACTCTTCCTCCTCTTCGCCGACGTCGGCCGAGTCGACGCCCACCTCCTCGTAGTCCTTCTCCAGAGCCGCCAGATCCTCTCTCGCCTCGGAGAACTCTCCCTCTTCCATGCCCTCTCCGACGTACCAATGCACGAATGCGCGCTTCGCGTACATCAGGTCGAACTTGTGGTCGAGCCTCGCCCAGGCTTCGGCGATGGCCGTGGTGTTGCTCAGCATGCAGACAGCACGTTGAACCTTCGCGAGATCGCCTCCCGGGACAACTGTGGGTGGTTGATAGTTGATGCCGACCTTGAATCCGGTCGGACACCAGTCGACGAACTGGATCGAACGCTTCGTCTTGATCGTCGCGATGGCGGCGTTGACGTCCTTGGGGACGACGTCGCCGCGGAAGAGCAGGCAGCAGGCCATGTACTTGCCGTGGCGCGGATCGCACTTCACCATCTGGTTCGACGGTTCGAAGCAGGCGTTCGTGATCTCGGAGACGGTCAGCTGCTCGTGGTAAGCCTTCTCCGCGGAGATGACCGGAGCGTACGTCGCCAGCGGGAAGTGAATGCGAGGATAGGGCACGAGATTAGTCTGGAACTCTGTGAGATCGACGTTGAGAGCTCCGTCGAAGCGCAGGGAGGCGGTGATAGAGGAGACGATCTGGCCGATGAGGCGGTTCAGGTTGGTGTAGGTGGGCCGGTCGATGTCGAGGTTGCGGCGGCAGATGTCGTAGATGGCTTCGTTGTCGACCATGAAGGCGCAGTCGGAGTGCTCGAGCGTCGTGTGAGTCGTCAGGATCGAGTTGTACGGCTCGACGACGGCCGTCGACACCTGTACAGACAAGTTACGCGTGCTCTTACGTGTACTTGTTACAATTATACTCATCGACTCTATATAATTATATTAAATATTTATATATATTTTATTATTTATATTTATAACAATATAACTATATAATAATATAATATAATATATTTATAATATTATAAATATATATATTAACACTTTATTATATTAATTTAATTATAATTATATTTATTCTTAAGTACTTATTGTACTTGTACTAATTAACTCTTACTTGTGCGACACGTACTTATACTAGTCTATGCGTGGGTTACTGTTCTATATGGTCAGCTGCTAATGGATTACTGCTCATTGGGTCGCCTTGCTATACGTGGGTTACCGCTCTTAATGTTACGCTGGCTGCTTCATCCCTGTTTTAAGCTTAAATATCCCCGTTTCTATGTTTGCAGGCTGCTTCTTCCTAAGTTTTAAAGCCTATGTGTTTTAACCCAACTATGTTTCTTTTCAATAAAAAAACACTAAACAATTATTTACCATATTACTCGCCTTTACGTATTTTTTGGGCTATTTTTGAATTATTTTTATTGGGGGTTCGCATAGCCTTTAAGCTTAAATGCCCCCGTTGCTATGTTTGCAGGCTGCTTTGTCCTGTTTTAAGCTTAAATACCTCCGTTGCTATGTCTGAATGTATATAGATATACTGCATAAAAAATGAGCACTCGCACTGCTGCTAATCTAAACGTCATTATCGCACCTGCAGCGCCGGGTAGATGGAGAGAACACCCCATAGCCCCCCAGGTAGACGAGACTCTCCATGAGCATGTTTGTATAATTATTTTGTTTGTATTATTTTTTCCTGTTGCTATGTTTGCATGTTTACATCGATATATACTGCGTTCAACATGCACTCGCACTGCTAATGTATAATGTATGATGTATAATGTATAATGTATAATGTATAATGTATGATGTATGATGTATGATGTATAATGTATAATGTATAATGTATAATGTATAATGTATAATGTATAATGTATAATGTATAATGTATAATGTATAATGTAT